GAAGCAAACACTTTACTATATGGAAATGGTGCATCGATCACTATGACGAACCTGTCAAGACTCTAGAGTCTTCATTACTCAAGCAAATGAGCTCATCTTTTGAGCAATAAAGGATCATAAGTCGGACTATAAGTTTATGCTAAAAGATCGATAATTACTCATATATTTGATTGAAAACAGCACATAAACTGGGTAAGGTCAATTTTAGCTATTTTCCTGCTAATATGACAAAACGTCTTCGTATGTCAATATTTCACTGGAAAAATCTTTTTAGACGGTCAACGTTCTTAGGAAACAGTGCAAACCAGCTGCCTCCATCAGAGGATGAAATATTCAGATCGAAATGGCTGGTAATTATAACAAAAATACTACAGATAAGTCTCGATGTTCGCATTCTTCAGTAACTGTCTTCTACATTCTACAAAATATGATATTATCAGAGTTTTATAAAAACCATATGATTATATACTACAATTTGATTGAAAATTCTCGTGAAGAACTCTCTAGATATCTCGAGTACGAGAATTTTTGTTGTTCCATAAATCTCTCGAACGGTCCACGAAGATTTTTCCAGTGAAATATTGACATACGAAGACGTTTTGTCATATTAGCAGGAAAATAGCTAAAATTGACCTTACCCAGTTTATGTGCTGTTTTCAATCAAATATATGAGTAATTATCGATCTTTTAGCATAAACTTATAGTCCGACTTATGATCCTTTATTGCTCAAAAGATGAGCTCATTTGCTTGAGTAATGAAGACTCTAGAGTCTTGACAGGTTCGTCATAGTGATCGATGCACCATTTCCATATAGTAAAGTGTTTGCTTCTGAAACTTTCAGAAAACAATGGCCATCTATGTGGGAATATCTCTTAAAAATTTCAGATCGATTCATCAAACTATTGCTGAGTTATTGACTTCTCAATAGCATTCTATTGTTTTTGTGTATATCCATGTTTTCAGTAAAAATGGTCTAGCTCATTAACAACTCGATAGACTTCGATAAAATTTATATTGGAAATAGCCATAATGTAGGGCTACAAAATGAGCTATTGGCTGACTCAAAAGCTCTTTCTATTATCAAGTTACGAAATTTACAAGGGAGGTGGACGGCACCTATTATAACTTCGTTCTAACATTGAGCAATTTTGGCACTGATGGTACTGCAGATCTACATTCTCTGTGGACTACCTATAGACCAATTTTTAGACGTTTAGCTCTTATAGGAACTAAGATCCAAGGGGGGGGGGGATACTTTTGTCAAGTAGTGTAAGGGTACCCTCCTATAATAGAACTTGAGGACCTAAGGGTACCTCCATAGTATAGCGCAAGCACTTTAACTTTAACTTTTTTTTTAAAGTTAAAGTGTTAAAATTTTTACTTTAATTAAAGTTTAAAGTTTTAAAATTTTCACTTTAATTAAAGTTTAAAGTTTTAAAGTGTTTTACTTTAACTTTAAGTTTAAAGTTTAAAGTGTGACTTTAACTTTAACTTTTAAAGTAAATTTAAAGTGCCACCCCTACCAACACCCACACCCACACCCCACACCCCATACCCTCACCCCAATAAGCATAGTAATACATGTACAGACGAACGGATAGACATTGTAAGATGCTTATGAACATTTTTATTTTCGTGAAACACTTGGAACTTTTTTTCAGTGCAAATTTTTGATAATCGTTTTTAAGATTATTTGAAAGCATTTAGAAAGTTCATGGACCTTTCACGAATAGTATTTGAAGGTCATAAACATTTTCATATACCCTCTCTAAAGAGTTTATAATACGGTTTCGAAAGATTTCATAGACGGGAAAAAGGTTTTTTTTTACATGTTACACTTTCATAAACCCTTTAAACGTTTACTATTCTACGGATTTTTTTATCGTGTAGGACAGTTTGATAAATTTCAAATCTGATGAGCCCTTCTAACAGTCCTTTTGACAGGAACTGATATGTTTCAATAGCTGGGATCCTGAAACTGAGTTATCCGAAAAGTTTTGATTCAATTATTGTCGACAGCACTTCCAGATTCAAAAATCTGGAAGTTTTGGAGGGCTATCTATACATGGACCATATAACTTTTCTATGGCTGATTGAACATACTACGTGTAACTGTTTAGGTGCTGTCAAGATATGCAACCTGTAGTACCTCATCGGATGTTAATAATGCTCATATGACCTCTCCTCTCTGTGAAGAATCACCTTCTGAGTTCAAATACCTTCGTTCTATTATGAAAATGCTATAAAATTCGTTGGACTGCTCAGTTCTATAAATTGAATTTTTGAAATAATCTTCTATCTCAGCTGAACTGCTCTTTTTCGAGAGCTCATTAGCTCATTTGATCTGAGCTTCTGAACTCGTGTTGTCCTATGTCTACAATAAATACAGGCAGTACTTGTGTTGCTTATTCTTTTATCAATAGCGGTAGACTCACATGCAGTTGGTAATTATATCATAGACATTGATAATTATGAAATTTTCACTGTAACTACATCATGGTGTTTATAGCTATCTTCGAATGTACTAAAACTCTGATCAATGTGTCGGACTTGTGAACAATGTCTACGAGATTTTAGCAGCTGAAAGTTTCTATAATTATAGATCAAAGTATGATCGCAGCTACAGTTAACTGATCGTTATGGAGCATATGGATATCTTCGACCAATTAGACTTCTCGAAGAATCATGTTGAAATAAAAGCTATATTTTTATGTATTAGACATTAGAGTTATCTTTAAAATTCAAAAGTACCACTAAATGAAATAATGCTTTTCATCAAAGTAAGTGATGTTTACAATGAAAATAATTTGTGTGTGCGTATGTAAGCACTCTATTTAGACAAAGATTATGATAGTTCACATAGAAAAAAATTTATTTGTAGATAGATTGATTTTTTTAACATACTTCTCTACAATATAAACGTACAGTAGACAGCTAACTTAATTGATATCAACTACATTCAAATAAAAAATGAATGAAAATAATTCTCTTATATCAATCAAACCCAATGATGATTTGAAAAATGATAACAATCAACGTCACGAAAATGCAAGTCACGAATCGGTATTTTCACGATTATACTATCAAATTATTGGTATTGATTTAAAGCCAAGTGTTCTTGTATTAGATAAGAATGAATCATATAAAAGATTACATCGGGATCGTTTAATAAAAGCATCAATATATTTGTGTGATTTATTTACAAATCATTGTCTTCCTTTAAGATTATCTCCAATCATTATACCTGTACCAGGGCTTTTATTACATTTGTTATTGTTCATATTGGTTTATATATCATCAGAACTAGATCGTTTTCATTATGCATTCTGGTTGATTTTAGAACATTTCATCTATTTGGTTGATATCATAGATGGGAAACAAGCGAGACGAAATGGAACACAATCTCTTGCAAGACACTTTTGGGATCATTGGTGCGATACAATCAATATCGCTCTAGCTGGTCTAATTTTAGTCAAATTATATCCACTCGATATGAAATATAGATTGCCATCATTAATTTTATTACTCATTCGATCATTGGATTTCTATATGTCTTTTGTAGTTTATTATTCTACTAGTATTCTAATAGAACAATACACATCTCATATTTCGAAATATCTCTATGCAACATTTCTACCATTGTCTGTACTTATCTACAATGTTGATATACTACATAATGTAAATTATCAACTTATCTTAGGAACATTATCCGTGGCAGCTATTTTTAGCAATCTACTTTACTTTACAGATAATCTGTATTTGATTTCAAGATCATCGATCTTTTCTATAAAATTAATCGTAATATCATTATTATTTCCATTGATATCAATAGGGATTTATATTGTTATTGATCATTATAAGTACACTAATGACAGTTTACCGAATATAGTCTTGTATAAAGCATTGCTTTCTTTGGTTATTTGTAGTTACATATTAAATGTTCATTACAACCAATTAATCGATCAATCTCCATCGTTGTTTACTCTTGAATCCGTTCTATTCATTTTATCCTCATTAACACTTTTTATTCATAATTACATAATTAATCTTATATTAATAATTATGTTTATTGTTGTCAATCTATCGATCAATCTAATTAAATTAATAACGAGTTTACGTGTGCTCATTGCAATGTATCCTGAAATTGAATTTTCTATTTTCATTATTAGTGGTGAAAAACTTCAATATCATAACAATATAACGAACAAGTAGAGGTCATTGATGGCTTCAGAACTTCTAATTTGGATGGAATAGGACTTTCTTTTTATCATCTAAGACTCCGGACGAGGATGCGTGTGGATTTGTTAAGTTACCATGATATTAACATTTTATCTCAGCGACGAGGATCTTCTTCTCTCGCTGCTACACCCAACTCCACACTCTTTGTTCATACATTTGTATCTCTTTCACTAACTCAGAATATGTTTGTTTTAGTTTCGGCATCAATTCACATTTTTCTGACACTATACTTTCTTGTATTATAACTGCTACACTATTACTCTTCAGTATATGATTGACGATCGGTTTATACTCTCGTTGATCAAAATCATCGAATTTATAGCCATGCTTTTCCATCGACACGTATTTCAATACTTTGTCCAGTAAACATTTGTACATATTTTCTAAGATTTCTTTTACGAAAATATTCGAGATTTTGGTCCAGTTTATATGAATTTTTACGACAATCACAGAAAGAAAAAAAGAAGATTTTTTTCTGTCTGGCAAATAGCATGAATTCGCTACAAGACCAGCGTCCGCAATTCAAGCTCAATCGACATTTGATGCATAGATAATCGAGATAGGTGTGGGTGTGGATGGCTGTGTGGTGTGGATTTGTTTTACTTGTTTAATGCACACCCACACCCACACCCACACCCTTGAATATTCACCAAAACAAAAAAAAATAGCAATAAAGAAGATAATGAAAGATTCAACAGATGAACAGAAAAGTTAATATCGAGAATAAAATGAAAAAAAAATATCATTAAAGAAAAGAGAATTACGGCAATTTATGTATATTAACCGTATTTTCTGTTAATATAAGAAGATCATTTTTGCCCAAATCAATGGCATACCAAGGTGATGATTGATAAGTATGCTTTCCTACAATTCCTCGTGGATAAAAAATCTGATAAAGTGCAGAATAATCCGGACAAATGACCATCCAATGGTCATTATTCAAAGAACAACAGCGTATCTGTTGATTTTCAGCTGTCAAATCTAAGTGAACCGTATAATATCGATGCATAGTGGCTGTTAGACATAAATCAAAACGAATTTCATTTTGTCGATTTTTAACAATCATTCCCAAAACTTCATTATTTGCTGCACAATGGAGAATTAGTTCATCGGTTGTATAAGGTTCAGGTGATTGATATTGTTTCTTGAACTCAACTAATGGTCGAAGAGCATATTCATATATCGATGGACCCCAACCCCATGTAAATAAAAATAAACTATTTCCTGAACATGCTCCACCATAAAAGTCAACTGTGTCATGATTGTCAGCAAGTGGAAATGGACTACGTGTCATGGTCTTATCATTGAAAATTAAAATTTTTTTCTCAATAATGAAAATAAATTGATCGAGTGCATTCGACCAGAACATATCATAAGGACCACCATAAGTCCATTGGGATGTTCTTAAAATTTGCCATCGTCGATCATATACAAAAAGAATATTATTTTGAATTACTAAAAAATGATCATCATTTGCCGCTATACAACCATTATTTCCTTCGAGTTTAATCGTTTCATATGGTGATGTGAGAGGAAAAAGATACTTAAATATTGATTTATCAAAGCTAAAATTAATTAGATGATCATCGATTGTTAGCGTAGAAAATGTCGATTCAACATTGGCAACTTGATTTATTTGTTCATCAATCGATTGAATTGGATTCTTCATTGAATCAATTGATTCTTGTGTAACATTTTGTTCTTCTTTCAATTGACTGATTTGAGTTTGTACTCGTGCGACTTCAATTTTTTGTTTCTCTGTTTCTTGATCGAATAAATCCCCGAATTCACCTATCCTTTTTCTACAATATTCATCGACAAGCTGTTGTGCTCTTTGACGCCATCGTTCAGCACCCTGGGAAAAATTGGATTTGATATAAGATAGTTTTTCGGGATAATCGAGAGGATGCTCGATTGTGTTTTTGATTATTAAAAGTTGAGTTTCTAGTACATTCAAGTCTTCTTTCAAACGATTCATACAATCAGATTTTTCACAAAACTTATCATTCTCTAAATAAAGAAGCAATAAACGTTATCGAGATACAACAAAATAATGACAAATAAAGAGCACGACCAATGTTATGGAATTTCGGATTTTTTTTGCTTTCTTTGAATAATATCTCGGTAAAAAGAAAAGCAAACAAATGGAATTTTTTTGTTCACAGATAAAGGTTAATGATGTAGTTCTACTATCAGTTAAAATTTTGTTTATTTTTTAATTTAACTGGGCTGAATTCGGAAACAATATCGGCCGTCGCGGACTTTTAAAAAATGCCTATGTTTTTAGTAGTACGCAAAATTTCATATTTTCCTACGAAAGTGAACGAGTTACAAAGAATCATTCTAAATGAAAGTTATAGAGCTTTATACAAGCTTTCTGAATATCAAATTGTCTTTGGGCAGAAACAATTACATTAAATAAAAATTGACGATCATCGTTCGTTACGGAATTTCGTGTTCTTTTTGGCGTTAAAATGAGAAAGGTTTAAGCATCTAAAATTTTACATGATCATGATAAAAGTCCATCTTTTTTTCTAATCCATCGGTAATACGAAGACAGTTTTATCGTTCAAGTAACTGCGTGTTATTCTTATAACGAAAAAAACATTAGAACTACTGTCTGTTTTGAGACAAAAATACAATTTAACAAAATACGAAACTCAACTTTTTTGGTAAAACTAGTCAATAAATCTCTTTTTTTAGACATGCATGAAAGAAAAATGAGGTTTAGATTTCTCTTCAAAAAGAGTATCTCAAAGCTTGCAACATGTTTGATAAACTGTTACCAGTATACTGTCGATGATAGGGACAATTTTCTTTACTTTTGTGTTTCTGAACTCTCGACACGCGAGATTGATCAATTTCTGGCCATGCTCTAAGAATATTCTTGGCGGATATGTTTTAAGAAACTCTATCATTGTTCAAATTCATTTAAGGAAAGAACGTCTCTACGTCTCCGATCATCTTTTGGTTGAGACTATATTGAGATCATAAGCCAGCGTGAGTTGTGTCAAAACCGAAGAAGGTTTAGTTGTCTGGACTTTTGCTGCTGGGATTAGTGGTGTAGTCAGGATTTGAGGTATGCCGGGAGCTTAACTCCTTTGGCTACACCACTAGCTGAAATATTGAAGTTTCACTATATTTTTGAACGAAATGTCGTGCTAGGAACTTTTGGGATTCTTCTTAAGGGCACTCCCTCTCTTTTCTGATACAAAATTTTTCATTTTTTCAAAAATTATTTTTTGATCTCTATCTGTCAGCTGAAGTGTCTTCTACCTGTTTACGATTATATCGTGACTATTTCTCGCAATTGTGAGTTTGTATAAGTCGATTTGGAAGAAGATCCGTACGGATCTAGTCAATACCCAGGTCGACCAATCTGATAATATGATCCGATAGGTTCCGTCTCGGATCCTATCGGCATCCTATCGGATTCCTACCAAATTCGGCCGAATCCTATCGGATTTTCCCGGAAAACCGGTTACGGAAATGTGACGGAATCCCCGGTATCGGCAATCCTATCGGATCCTACTGTCGACATCCGATCGGCAGCTATCGGAACGGAAGCCGATCGGAAACCACTTTCGGCAGCCAACGCTAACGTTACTAACGGAAGCCGAATCGCTCCAACTGTTCATAATCCATCAAATGCCATATTTAAAACCAAAAAAACATCTCAACGCACAATAAATAATGCACACAAATTCGAAATACTAATATACACATACACAAAACCATTACGAACCGCCTGCGAAGCCTAACTCAAACAATACTATTCACCAATCTATCCTCATAAAATTACCAGACGTCCATAATAGCATCTCTGCTAAAGCCAGCCAAAAAAAGCTAAACATTCGCCCCTAACGACACATTCTCATGAATTAAAAAACTACATGCGTTTTACACTAAACATCGCCTTTCAAAAACATACTCAAACTAGCCTACCAATCGATGAAAGCAAAAACAGACACTAAATTGCATACATCCCTTCCTCAACAAAGAGTTCCACACACATATTCCACACATTCAATACAATCTTACACGATACAACATTCTAACCATAATATTATCGAACAGAGCTCTATACGCACACATCTCTAGCCCTTTCCAGGAATCAGTTTCAAAAATCTATCACATTCGACACGAAAGACAATTATATCAACGCTAAACAAGAAAATACACATGTAGGTATGCCCATTTGCTCAATTCCGGAACACAGTTTTCAAAATCCGATCGGATCCGATAGGATATAAAATTGTATCAATGCTAAGCTAGGATGTGAGATACAACTATGCATTTTTCGCCATTCTCCGAACTGAATTTTCAAAATCCCATCGGATCCGATAGGATAGAAAATTATATCAATGCTAAGCCACAATGTGAGATAGAAGCATGCATTATTCGCCATTTCCAGAACTCAATTTTCAAAATCCCATCGGATCCGATAGGATAGAAAATTATGTCAATGCTAAGCTACAATGTGAGGTAGAAGCATGAATTTTGGGCCATTTCCAGAACTCAATTTTCAAAATCCCATTGGATCCGATAGGATAGAAAATTATGTCAATGCTAAGCTCCAATGTGAAATACAAATATGCATTTTTCGCCATTCTCTGAATTCAATTTTCACCATCCCATCGGATCCGATAGGATAGAAAATTATATCAATGCTAAGCCA